GCTCTTTTGGTTTTCAAACTATTAATTTAGCTTCATAAAACAGAATCAAATTTAATTCAATTAAATAGTAAGAAATTAATAAATGAGAGATGGTATATAGAATATCATCATGCAATAACTACTTAAAGACACAAAAAACAATTAAAATACTAATTTCTATGGCTGTGACGATAGCTCAGTTGGTAAAGTGTTTGCTCCACAAGTATGAGGACCCAAGTTCAAAACTAGAAGCTAAATTTAAAACATTTGATGTAGTGGAACACATTTATAATGCCAGTACTGGGGAGGCAAAGATGGGTAGAGCCCTGGGGTTCACTGGCCAGTCAGGCTAGTCACTTGGTGAGTTTCAGACCAGGAAGAAATTTTGTCTTAAAAGAGGGTTGATGGCATTTGAGGAAGACACAGGTTATCTGTCTTCTGGATTCTACAAACGGGTATACAGGTGTACCTTCCTACGTAGACATGAACACACACACACAGGCAGCCTAATTCCTTAAGTATTAAACAGTACTCCTTTCCTTCACACAAATAAGACTAAACACCTAAACTAAACTAGTGGAAAAGGCTGTATACTGTTGTGCTCTTATTTTAATATTAGATGATGCATTTTAATTGTCTCCTCTCCATTTATTTAGTTCAGTGACTATGGCTGTCAGTTTGGGTTGGCTCTGTTCTATGCACTGCGTGAATGGACCCCTAGCTATGCTACTATCATTCTGGCAAGAAATCTGGAACAAGACAGAACAAGCATAGATCCTAAATTCATTAGTTAGAACGTAGTGTCTCCAACTATTCAGAGCCTTAATATCTATTAATAAACAGTCACAGTGGAACTGCTGACAAGACAGACTTGATAACATAAAAGTGAAGCTTTGTTTTTTTAAAGCCTGCCATAAAATGTCTTCACCATCAACATCTAACTCTCTAGGACTGTAAGCCAAAATCAATTCCTCTTTAAGTTGGTTTCAGTCATGATAATTTATCACAGCAATGTGGAAGCAACTAACACCACACCTACCCACTTAATGAGCCTTTCCTTTAAATGATATGCTGAGATTATCTGTTCATAAATTATCCCCGCAGCCATTTCTTTATTGTAACCACTCTGGATTTCTATGAGATCAGTGGCCACCAGTTCCACATAGAGGAACTTACTGATTATTTTTGGAGATCCATAAACAGCCATTAACAAACCCATTGACTTAGTTTATTCAGGCCCTTCTCTAGAATCAGTTACCTAATAGTTAATGGTCACTGCTAAAGTAGTATAGTTTAGCTTTAAAAACAAAACCTTTTCTGAGCCTCTTCAATAAAACATAAGCACACACATAAAAAGAGTGACTGAACATGTCCAATATCCTTAGTTGTGGTCAACGTTCTGGGGCTCTTTTACAGAGTAACCCTATAAATACAGTCTATGTACTTAAGGGAAGGTCCACCAATGACTGACGCACTCATAGCACCTGGCTTTTACAGAGTCTTTCATCCCCGCTAAATCTAAGTATTTGCTAAGTAATATGGGGTAGGAGGCAATCAAGACTGCGAAGAGCCAGATCTCATTTCCTGTGTAAATGCTGACAGGCAAATTATATAAATTAACCCTTGGTTACCACATATAAGAAAATCAAATGTGTGTTGAATTCTCATAATTTTTGCTGTGATAATTTCATTTGCTGGCTCAACGAATACTTAAGGTGCTATGCACTGGGATTAGAAATATAAACAAAACACTTTATACCTATCTAAGAGGGACACACAGTACAATTTCAGGTAAGAGCTAAGAAGGACAGCAGAAACAACGGCGTCAAGCTGCTTGGGGAAAACTCTCTGGAAGGGACATTTGAGGTGGGACTTGAATGGTGAGAAAGAACCAGTCATATGGGCTTTGGAGGAAGAGCACTTAAGGCAGAGGAACAAGCACAAAGACAATTATTCACTAGTGATATTTCCAACCAACAAAGGTGAATTTATTTGGCATCTACATTCAATCCTGCCTCCACTTACTGGAGCTGCTGCGAGCCACTCAACTGTCATGTTATGGCTTATAGTTACTCCACATCTACAACTTTGACATCACAATTCTGAAAATGCAGCTAATCCTAGGACTCTTTCATTGAAAATGTTACACATGTAGGATCAACCTCTATGAAGGGAATCAGCATTTTGTATCTTCATTCCTAGAATAAGTTTCCATTATGGAGTACTCCAGTGACACTGTACATCCAGAGGAAAGAACAAAGGGCTCATGAGTGAGAAAGTCCAAATTCCCAGCTCTACCATTGGCAAACCAAACTCTATGACCACTAGTCAGTATCTATAAATTGGGTTTGCCTACCCAACTACATTTCCTAGGAGATATGGCTACTGTCTCAGAACTTCTAAACTTCCTGTGGAGAAGAACAGAATACATGCATTTGATTTGTGCAACTGGGACAGTATCTAATGATCTCATCCAATCTCTCAGCTAAAGAGCAAAATCACAGGTGTCCAAAACGAATGACTTGCCTAAATATGTTCTGACATAACCAATCCAGCACCTAATTTTCTACATACTCAGTTTAATACATTTTTCACCAAACCACATTGTTTTAACCATCCCACCCTCAATGCAGTCTACAGTTCTAATTATTTTCCACTAAAGTACACGAAGGTTAAAATCTGAATGACTTTTTAAAAAATTAAGTACCCATGTAGATTTCTGAGGCATAGAACTGATATAATTTGACAGCAGAGTTAAATTTTGAAAGTGAAGAGACATAGTACTAAGACACAACAAAGAAAAGCATCTGCTGTCTTAAAACGTGTACCTACTAAATGATCCCACATCTGGTCTGTAGGTAGAATTTTTTTTTTTTTTTTTTTTTTTTTTTTTGGTTTTTACAAGACAGGGTTTCTCTGTATTGTTTTGGAGGCTGTCGGTCCAGCCTGGCCTCGAACTCATAGAGATCCGCCTGCCTCTGCCTCCCGAGTGCTGGGATTAAAGGCATGCGCCACCACTGCCCAGCTAGAATTTTTTTTAAAGAACAGCTTCCACTTATCTTTGTATAATGCTGATCCCATTATATTGTTATTGAGAAATAAATAACATGCTTCTCTTAACTCACTTTTTGTGTGTTAGGATTGAAGCCAGAGGCTCAAGCATGGTGGGCAAGAATTCTATTACTGAGTTACACTCCAAGCCATTATTTTCTTAATTTAAAAGGTGATATACTTGTCCATATAAAACACTGAAAGCAACGCAAGATTGTTTTTGTGTTGGGTCATCCTTCTGCTTTTCTATTTATGATTTAAACTAGAAGTAGAATGTAAGTTGAAAAATAGCCCATGGTGCAATATCAAGAATATGAAAATAAACTAAGCACTAAAATGAAACAAATTTCAAAACTGCACCAGCTTTGGGGTGAGAGCATCAAACTGATTACTGTTTCCCTTAGCAACTTGCAGGCCTCAATGAAGCAAGAATGTGAAAGCTTTAAAAGGAATCAAGCAAAGTAAGTTGTGGAAACAAGTGGTAGACCATGAAGTACAAGCTATTATTATATGACAATCTGTAGTCTCCCAGCACAGCAATTCACCAGAGTACATGCAAATGCTTACTTAAAAACTGCAATTCTTGCATAATGACTCACTCAAGTTTTAGTCTTAAAAAAGAATGTTATCCATGAAAGCTGCATCAACTATCCACTTCTGAAAAAAGGAATTTATCTTAGCTTCAATGGGGAGGGGAGGGGGGCACACATACAATATTTTCCTCTTCAAAAACAGGCCTTCTTTTAGCATGTGACCTTAAAGCAGGTCACCCTTCTTCTCTGGAACGTGTTTGCTAACTATGTGTCAGACACTATGCTGGATTTTCTGCACACACTGCTTAACTGGATTTGTCACACTGACAAAGTAGCAATTACTCCCTCTTACAGCTACGGAAACTAACACTCAGAGAGCAGAGGGAGACAAATCACACAGTGGTCTATCCCACACACTGAATCCTCTGTCTTAAACCTTGCTCTTTCCATCACACTTCTTGTAAGACAGTCACATTCTCAATGAACAGCGATCTCTATAAAGTTCCTTTTTGCGATAAAAAGATGTGACTTAGTAATCATCTAAGGTAAAAATGTATTTGCTGAGTGTTTATTAGCTTGCAAGTCTTAACTCCTTACTGCATTAAGTAAAAGTTTTAAAGACAACTTTGAGAGTGTAGATTTCAATAAACCCCACACTACCATAGAGAAAACATAAAGTGTTTATAAATAGGACAAATTCATAGTAACTGCATGAAAGTATTTCTAACCAAAGTTTTAACGAGTTCTAAACTGCATTTAAGTATATACACACACACACACACACACACACACACACACACACACACACAGAGAGTTTTTCTTTTGGAAATACGAAGACTCTTAGAACTGACCCCACTGTGGATGTGAAAACAGGTGATGTATTGAAGACACTCTGAAACGTTTGTTCTGAAATTCAAGCTGAATTATTGGGCTTTTCTAACAGCAATGTCTGGTGTAGTGTTATAGTCTGTCACCATAATCATCACCTGCCTCTTCAGAATGTGCCACCTTCATAGCACATTTCAAACATCTCTTCATAAAAGACTCATGTCACTTAAGAATGGAAGTCATCTCCATTAGCCCAAGAGAAGACAGAACTACTCCATGGTACCAGAAAGAAGAATCCCGGACGAGGGGAAGCTCCCGTGAGACGCTTTCTTCACCAGCCTGTCCCGAGCATCCTTTCGTGTTCCCCACACGGCAGCCCTGGCCTTAAACACCACGACCGGGGAACCGAAACTCCGCGGCCGCCAAACTCTGCTCGCTCTACTGCGGATCACCGAGCAGTTGAGCACACAGGCAATCAGGTACAGAGTCACACACGTAATCAGGTACAGAGTCACAGACTCAAAGCGACCGTGAAGCCCGTCCGGAAGCCGCCTCCCGCCCCCGACCCGAGGCGGCGCGGGGCTGCAGGGCCCGGCCGGCCTCGCTCACCTCTTCCACCTCGATCTCCTTGTAGTCGATCTCTTCGAAGTTGAGGACCTGCGTTGGCGCCTCGATCATCTCACTGGCAGAAGACGAGGAGGAGGACGAGGCGGCGGAGGCTGTCGACATGACGGCGCCCGGGGGGCCGCGCTCGCCCACCCGCCCGCGCGCCGCCCTTCAGCCCCGAGCCGCGCCGCCCCGCAGCCGGGCGCTCCGTGGCGCGGGACCGACCCGGGCCACCGCCGAGTCCCGGCTTCGGCTCCTCGGCGCTTTCCGTCGCCGAGCCCCGCCCACCGCACTTCCAGTTCCGGTTTGGAGTCGGAAGTGGAGGAAGGAGGCAACGCTAGAGGAAGCGGAGGGGGGCCTTTTGTGACTTGGAAAGAGCGAGAAAAGCCGGGTTAGGGGTGGAGTGGAAGAGGGCGCGAGTGGCGCTGTGGGCTAAATCTCGCGAGACTTTGCTTGGAGGCCCTCGGCAGCGGGAGTGTGTACCGCGATACCTGACGCGGTGACGTAATGAAAATGCGCGAGCGGAACAAGAGCGAAGGCCGTCCGGTTGGTCGCGCTGGAACAAGCGGGAAAGATGAACTCTGTCTAGGTTTCTATTTTGAGTTATGTCGTGCGGTCCCTGCTCTGTTCCCAGCGGTCTTCAGACAGGCAGCGTGGCGTTTGCGTCCCGCTCTTTTGACGCACCTTGATTTCCGGTTTCACGCGGGGGCTGCTGAAGAAGCTTTCAAGTTTTGCAAAAATGTTTCCGCGGGGTGGCGTTTGTGGCATGGTGTCTGCTGCTTTGAGCTGGCCCCCGAGCCTGTGAGGGATTCGGGGGGGGAGAAAAGCAATGAGTGCGAACAACCCGAGTAACACCATGAAATAGGAGTACTCACAGATTGAAGCCAACTGCGTGGTGTAACACAAAATTTCACACAAGTCACAGCAATTAAAATTGCTTAACTTTGTCACGTTACCGAGTCTGTCGCCCACAGCAGCCCGAAGAGTTGAGACACACCGAGGGAAAGAATTGGAGGAGGAGTCAGTACGAAGCAAAGCTGGAGGAAGAGTCATTCGTCTTTATCCTTACAATGTTTCTGTACAGGATTTCGGTGATCTTTGAAGGCATTGTCTCTGAAGGGTGGCTACGGAGTTTAAGGAGATCATAGGGTGGTTCCTGAAGAGTGCCTAACATGACTACGATTGATGTGGCAAAACTTCTGATTCCAGGAGTTAGGATAACTTCACCGGAAACAAAATTAATACTCTTGTTTTGTGAGGTTCCCAGAAAATAACCTTGGAGAGGACTAAGGCCTTACTTGAAGGGCATAGAGGCTTGAACTTTAAGCTAGTTCAACATGAAATATCATTATATAAAGGAATGTTGTCTTTATGTTGGCAGTCTTCATAGCAAGTGTTAGTTGTACTGGAGTTCTTTACTTGGTGACGAGCTTCAACTTCTAAGTGAGGGGCTCCTTTCCCTTAGGTCCCATATTTTTTCCTTCCTGGCCTTAACGATAGTTATATGTTTCATACAGTACTGGATAGTATTATCCATGTTGTGTGACAAACACAATTTTTAGTTTAAGCTAGGTGTTGAATTTAGTTGACTTGACTCAAAAACCAGCAAGAATGTGAGTTAGATTTAGTGCCTAAGGACGAACTCTGAGAATGCCAAGTCCTAAGTTTCCTAGTACCAATGGAGACTGAAAGAGGGGCAGGAAGAAGAGTTGGAGATCCCAGTTTTACTGCAAGAGACCTTTCCAGTGCAAGAGTAGCTGAGTTAATGCAAGTAGAAGCAAGTTAGAATGTTTGGGGTTGTAAGTAATTGTATTTGGCAAGCTAGAAGCTGAAGCTGGTAACTGTGGCAATTTGTTAAATGGATGACAAAGAATAGTTTCTTCACATTTTCTAGGTATTTTACCCAAAGTCTTGTCCTTCAGTATCAAGCTATGACAATGACTTCTGAGGTCTTCTGAATACTAAATTTTACTGAATTTTGGAACTGGTGAGCGTCTGTGTCTACATGTAGATGCAACATAAATGCCTAAGCTTGAATATCATAGTGGTGGTTCACCATGTGGCTGATGAATGCCTGTAATGAAACTTTTCTGGGCTAACTGGGTGTATGTGGTTTGGGATTTGAGAGTGAGATATTTGAATCTGGTATTTCATAGGTAATGAAGTTTCTAATGAGACTCTGAGCTGACTCATGCTTTTGAGAAAAGGAAAGGTAGGCTTTAGGTTGGTTTTTTTTCCTTTGGGGTCCCACCACTGAGCTCCCAAATAAATACACGAATACTTCTTACTTAATGAATGCCTAGCCAGCTCTTCTAACTTAAGTCATCCTGTTTTCTATATTTTGCCTCTGGGCTTTTTACCTTTCTTTATATATCTTTCCTTCTTACTCTGTGGCTGGCTGGGTGGCCAGTTGTCTGGGGGCTGGTGTCCTCCTTTTATTGTCTTCCCTTTTCTCTCCTATGTATTCTTTCTGCATGGCAGCCCCACCTATCCTTCTCCCACCTAGCTATTGGCTGCTCAGCTCTTTATTAGACCAATCAAGTGCTTTAGTCAGGCAAAGTAACACAGTTTTACAGAGTTAAACAAAATCAACATAAAAGAATGCAATACGTGTTTGCATGATTAAACAAATATTACGCACCATAAACTAATGTAACACATTTTAAACTAATATTCTATAACAGTTGGCCTTTGGAACTGATAAGGCAAGATACTGACGGATGGTTATTCAATTATCTGCTGTTTTATCTAGTTATAAATATTACTGAGATGAGCATCATGTACTTAAATCTGATGTTAAGGTATTAGGCCAAAGATATTTTAGTTTTCTAGTAATTTTGTTTTCTCTGGAACATTTTTAGTTTGCCTTTGTTTTAACTTTTTTGAGACAGGGTTTCTCTGTATTGTTTTGGAGCCTGTCCTGGAACTTGATCGGTAGACCAGGCTTGGTCTTGACCTCACAGAGATCCACCTGCCTCTGCCTCCTGAGTGCTGGGATTAAAGGTGTGCAACACCACCTCCTGGCTTGCCTGTGTTTTGAAGAGAAGTGATAACTAATTGTTGTTAGGATGTATGTCTTTTATCTTAAAAGCACAGGTTTTAGAATTCTGATATCTCTTATTCCAGATCTGTCAAGTATCCTGAATAAATTAAACTCTCAACTTTAATATGTCTAATACTAACCTTAGTGGATTAAGAAAAATTAGTAGAGTAACTGATACATAAAATTAATCCTGCAATAAATTATTAGTTTCATATTTTACTTCATGTGGTATGATAATGGTGGAAACAGTTTTTCATCGCAGACACTAGGTCCTGGTGACTAGGAGAATCTGTTATCATGGGATAGCTTAACTGCTGACTGGTTTACACTTGAAGTGGAGTCTGGCTTAGGTTGATAAGTGGCTGAAGAAGACTGTGTATTAATGAACTTGGATGAACAGGTTGGTGTAGTTTGAACCCAGAGGAAGGGGACAGGGTTTAGAGAATAACTTTGCTCAGACTACCACATTCTGGTGAAGAGAATGTTATTACAGTAGGGGGATGGAACATATTTAATTAGTTTGTTATCTTTATTTGGAGTGTTGTTTAGACATTTAGTATGTGGGCCTCTACTTGTACTCTTACTCGGGACCCCTCAAATGTTAGCTTTGGTTTTGGGGTGTGTGTGTGTGTGTGTGTTTTCTGTTCTATGTGCTGGCTGGCTATAGGTCACTTGGGTTTCCTATTTCCTAAGTTACCCAGGAATGTCTGTCTTATCACTTGGGTCTCAGCCCAATCCCTACTTCAGAGATAATGATGCCCTATTTCTTTTCCCTACCCTTTCACTTTCTATCCATTACTGTTTTATTTCTACAGAGTCAGTTGTCTGACGTCTTTAATTATTTTGTTCCTGGTTCATTTTCTGTCCCAGTCTTTTAAACTTACTGTCATAGTTAACACTTAGCTGTCAATTTGACACAGCCTATAATCACCTGAAAAACTTCTCCATCGAGTGATTGCCTTTTTCAAATTGGTCTGTGGGGGATTGTCTTGATGGATGTAGGAGAATCCAGCTCAGTGTGGGTATTGCCACCTCCTGGGCAGGTGTTGAGAGCTAGCGAAGTATGAGTCAGAGAGCAGAGCTAACCGGAAGTAACATGTCTCCTTGGTTCTTATCTCGGGATTCCCTCCCTGACCTGCCTCAGTGATGCATTGTGACCTGGAAGTATAAGCCATTTAAACTCTTTCCTCCCCTAAATTGCTTTTAATCCAAGTATTTTATCATTAACAACAGAAAGAAGAGTAGAACTGCTGATCAGGATTTAGAGCAGTACCTGAAGTTCAGTTGACACTTTATAGAAAGTGAATGAGTATGGTTCCTAATAAATACTGTGTTAATTTATTTTACATATAAAAGCTGAGTTAACCAATTATTTTTGTAACATCATTGGAGAAGACTTAATAAGTTGATGAAATTGGTATGTAGTTAATATACCACTTTGTAATGAAAGTTTGCTTTTAAAATGTTTGAGAGTTTTAAAAATGTTTCCTCTCCTAGCAGGTAGCTCTGCTATACTATAGTCAGTTTAGCAGACTCTGTCTTCCTAGAGTTTCCAAAGATAAACCAGATCTTCTTACCAAAACTAATACTATTTAGCTTGTTCTGATACATTGCTTGCTAAAGTTTAACTTTACTATGTTTAATATTAATATTAGATTAATATTTATTGCCACTGTTGTGGTAATATTAATGGTTGTTTTCAGAAAGAACTGATTTTTGTAACTAACAGTTTAATTTCTGAGCTTCCCAGGCATGCTAAAGCATCACCCTGAAGCTCGGCACCATCTTTTTGAAAGGTAGAAGTCTCCACAGATAAGAACACACTGTAGAAAGGAAGACAGTCCTCATGGAAATAGTACTCTTTGTTAAAAGTCTTATTTCACTGGCCAACAGGTCAAGTAGATGCTTTTGATGATCTTTTTTTTTTTTTTTTTTTTTTTTTTTGAGGAAATTCTGGAAGCAATTTGGTTTCATTTTCAGGGATAAGTAAGGGTGTTCTGTCTCACACAGCCCCAGGGAATCACAAATTAAAACTTTCCACTTGAATGATGCCATCTATTCATTATTTCAACAAACAATACCCCACCCTGGCCAAAGTCACAGTCAGGGTATGGAATTGAGTGCTTGAGGCCTGTAAGGTAGAGAGACCCACAATGCATTCTTGTTCATAAGCAGCCCATTTCCCACCTTCCTCTGCTTCCCCAGCACCCCTCAGAGCTGCTCTCAGTGGTGAGAGGCTCCTCTGAGTGACAGATTCCCATTTGAAAGTCATCTCTGGGAGCTCAAAGTGCTCTAAGTGAGAACTATCGACTGTTAATCAACTCAATTAGGTAACACTCTTCACAC